GTTTGACAGCTGATGCAAGCTGTCAAAACGGCTTTTACGCAGAAACAGGCGGGAGCAGCAAACAGCTGCGTCCAGCGAAGTCGCCTGCCACCGGAAGTCCGTTCCAATTCTTATTTTGTTTGCAGATTTCCCTGTTCGTTTACTAATTCCTTGTATCTAACTATCTTATTTATATCCAGTAGGTTTGGGTGTTTCAGAGCTTCTGTTGGGGATAACCACACTGGAATTCTTATATAATGTTTTTGTGTTATTTTTTCCCAAGTCTGTAGCAATGCATTCCTAACTAGATACATCTTTCCTATATGGATTAGAGTATGATTTTTTAAGGGATGATTGACAAAAAAAATGCTCTCTCAGGATCTAAGAGTTTCTAATTTTAGGAACTTTTACATGACCTCTCTGTGTGAAATAACTATGAAAAACTGTTCCATCAGCGGGCCTCTTAGGCCTTCTCCCATGTGAGTTTTCTGATATTTCCCTTTTGAGCAAAAGATTTCTATACTCTATGAGTCTTTATGGCTTCATTCTTTGATGGACCTTTTGATGACTTCCGAGGTGTTGTTTTTGGGAAAAGCATTTCCCACACTCCACACATTTGTATGGCTTCTCCCCTGTGTGGATTCTCTCATGAACCCGAAGCAGTGTTGCTGTGAGAAAACCTTTCCCACACTGCCCACATTTATAGGGCTTCTCTCCTGTGTGCCCCTTCTGGTGTCTCCGGAGTTCAGCAGACTCCACAAATCGCTTGTCGCATTCTGGGCATTGATAGGGCCTGTCTCCAGTGTGAAGTCTCTCATGTCGAATTAGGTGTAACCTCATGGAGAAACATCTCCCACACTCCGAACATTTATGTGGTTTCTCTCCACTGTGGGTTCTCTGATGTATCAAAAGCTTGTCTTTCTGAATGAAAGATTTCTCACACACTGAGCATTTATGGAGCTTCTCTGCTGTATGGACTTTCCAGTGACTTCTAAGATAAGATGAACAAATAAATGCTCTCCCACAGTCTAAACATTTGAAATTTTTTTCCCCTCTGTGAATTTTCTCATGATGTCTGAGGGTTGATATCAAACAAAAAAATTTCCCACACTCGACGCACTGATAGGGTTTCTCTCCTGTGTGCCTTAGCTGATGTTGAAAAAGACTTTCTTTTAGAGAAAAACATTTTTCACAATTGTTACATTTATAGAGTTTTTCTCCCGTGTGCGTCTTTTGGTGTCTCTGAAGTGTGGAAGAACTCCCAAATCGTTTCTCACATTTAGGGCATTCATGGGGTCTTTCCCCAGTGTGGACTGTCTGATGTCGCTGCAGGGCTGATTTGCTGGAAAAACATTTCCCACACTCCAGACATTGATAAGGTTTCTCCCCAGTGTGGACTGTCTGATGTCGCTGCAGGGCTGATTTGCTGGAAAAACATTTCCCACATTCTAGGCA